ATTAATTTTTTAGAAAATGTGTACATAAATCATTTACATCAAATTTTCAGAAGATAATCAGAAATTACCTTTTTGATGGGCTGTCAGCTAGTGTTCAAAAATGTTCCCTTTTCTCTTTTTTTGGGTATTAAATCCCTAATGACCTTATTAGATGCTAATTGCATATCCTGCCTTGTGAAAGGGAATAACTGGCTCATTTAACTGATTAAGTACTTTTGTTTTCAAATTCAAAGCCAAAAGATTATCAAAATAAATATGCTCTATTTCAGGGTGTGTTTTTATCCCCCCTTCTTGGGCAAAAATCCTAAAACAAAATAGCCCATGTACATCGTTGAAGAGTTTGTAGTTATAATTAAAAAAAAAATGTTCTAATTGAACCAACAGTGGGTGATGTATGCTGAAAGTCTATAAAAAATAGAAATGTGCCCTATTGTAATTGTTTTTTTTTATCCCCCTTCTCAGGCAATGTTGTTATGATCTAACAACACACACATATTACCACCATCATGCTCTGCCAGTTTAAGACATCCAATTTAAGTCTTTAAGGTAGCCACGTATAAACAACTTAACAGTCTATTATTATATCCACTTAGGCAACTTTTCTTTACGTTTGTGAACAATAGTTTAAGCTGTTTTTTTAAAGCATCTTCACTTGACAATTTCCACCTTCTCAATATTATCCACACTAGCTTAAATTGTTTCCCTAATTTTTCACCTTTCTTTACATTCTTCTACACTAATTTAAACCACTTTTCACCTAACCACGATCTGGCAATTTTAACTTTAATATCTTTAGATTTGCACGTATTAGTTGAAACAACTTTTACATAATCCACCAAATTAAGCAAATTTTAGACATTTATTTTTTCATTACTTTGTATGCACCTTCATAATAGCTACTTGTACGATTGTCAGTTCCTTCAAGGAAAGTTTAAATAACCTGAAGAAAAGCTTTCGACTACTTTCATTCAAGTTCCCCTTCAGCCACTACTTGTAATAAAAACATATAAACAATATATTTATTACATAAGTTCAAACATTTCATTTATTGTATAACTATATTTTTAATGTTGACTGTTCAGATATAAAACTACTACGTTAATCCTGGAAGAAGAGCAACTTTTTAAAACCTCCATAATCATTTCTTCTAAGTATGTTCACTAAATCAAATTAACAGTTCTTCTTCATATCTATCATGAAAACTACTAATATTTATTATTTATTTCCAGCAAATACTTGTCTTATGTATTAAAACCTTGTAGTTTACACCAATTATCCTTACACAAGAACCAGAAGAAATGTATAAAACCTTGTAGTTTACATTAATTATCCTTACACAAGAACCAAAAGACAGAAAAATGTATTAAAACCTTATAGTTTACATTAATTATCCTTACACCAGAAGACAGAAGAAATGTATTAAAACCTTGTAGTTTACATCAATTATCCTTACACAAGAACCAAAAGACAGAAGAAATGTATTAAAACCTTATAGTTTACATCAATTATCCTTACACAAGAACCAGAAGACAAAAAATATATTAAAACCTTATAGTTTACATTAATTACCCTTACACAAGAACCAGAAATGTATTAAAACCTTGTAGTTTACATTAATTATCCTTACACAAGAACCAGAAGACAGAAAAATGTATTAAAACCTTGTAGTTTACATTAATTATCCTTACACAAGAACCAAAAGACAGAAGAAATGTATTAAAACCTTGTAGTTTACATCAATTATCCTTACACAAGAACCAGAAGACAAAAAAAATATTAAAACCTTATAGTTTACATTAATTACCCTTACACAAGAACCAGAAATGTATTAAAACCTTGTAGTTTACATCAATTATCCTTACACAAGAACCAGAAGACAGAAAAATGTATTAAAACCTTGTAGCTTACATCAATTATCCTTACACAAGAACCAGAAGACAGAAAAATGTATTAAAATCTTGTAGTTT